ATTTGGCCCTCTGGTGTGTAGACTAAAAGTGCCCTCGTTTTGCTCCGAACAGAGATTTGCCAAGGTCTCACCTGACTTTTGAGTCCCTCTCGCCCTTAAAAATGGCACTTTGTTTTCTAAAGCAGCTGTTATTTTTAAGACTTTCAATTTTACAGTGTTCTCAGCTAATTTTTTAATTACCTCAAAAAATTTATTTCTTATTTAGGAGACTATGCATTTTAACAGGGGGAAAGAAGTTTTCTAGACTGCATCCACCACCCTAGTGCCAATAACTCTCCAGTAGCTGACTTTAAAGTGGCCTCGGCTTAATAGTCTCTGATGACCCATAATCCCGTTTTCTTAAGGGTCCCGGTCAACAACACATGCCCTGATGTACAGATTATGCCTTGTTGCCGTTGGTCTTTGTTGCTCTGCCTTTGCACCCGGAATCGAGAGAGACCCAGTCCACGGTCTCTCTCGACTCCAGACTCTGCTCCTGCTGCCTTTTATCTAGCTTGATAAAGGCCTTCCCAAAGTCAAACCCACCTGCAGCTCCTCCACACGTGGTCCACCTCCGTGTTCTGTCCCCTCCGTTCGCCCACTCCAGGAGCTACTTTCTAACTTCCGTGATCCCTTCCTTGCCTGTTGGGCCAAGATCATCATCTCCTCCCATGATCACTCAGGAGCCTTCTAGTAGCTTCTCCACACATGCGCGCGCGCGCGCGCGCGCACACACACACACACACACACACACACACGACACAAGTGCAACCCCCAGCACAGTGTTCCAGTGTCCTTTCTAAAAGAGAATTCGCAGGGGGAAACACCCCGTTCCGACCCCTGAGCCCCCAGCTTGAGTCCCCACCACCAACCATGCCTTGGAGTTAGCCTTTTTTTTTTTTTTTGATTTTCTTTTTTTTTTTTTTTTTTTTTTATATATATATTTTTTTTATTAGTGAAAAACCATGAGGTACAGTTATAGGCTTACAAATTTTGTGCTTGGGTTTCAGTTATACAATGATCAAGTCCCCATACCTCCACCAGTGCCCGTCATCCATCCCCATGGGTCCCAGCATCCCCCCCCCTCATCCCCCCCCCCCCCCCGTCCCATCCTGCCTCTGTGGCAGGGTATTCCCCCTTGTTCTCTCTCTCTTCTTTTGGGTACTGTGTTTTGCAAGAGAGGCTTTGAGTGGCAATCATGTTTGGTCTATCGACTACTTTTAGCATGCTTCTCCCACCCTGGGAGGGCCCTCACAACACCCTTCATTTGGTAATCTCTTCTCTATCTGAGCTTCCTTTTCACCTAGAGCCTGTGGCTGGCCTTCCATTCATGGGGCAAAATTCCTGGTACTAATCTCAGCCATTCCTGTGTGTCACTCTCACTTTTTGTTGCTTTATGTTCCCCAGATGAATGCAATCTTTCTGTGTCTATCCCGCTCTTTCTGACTCATTTCGCTTAACATGATACTTTCCATGTAGTACCACTTGTATGTAAATTTCATAACTTCATCTTTTCTAACAGCTACATAGTACTCCATTGTGTAAATGTACCAAAGTTTCTTTAACCTTGGAGTTAGCCTTGCCCATTCCTCCTAACGTCCCACTGGCAGCGGTCTGAGAGGAGGGGGCACCTCAGCACGCCCTGCTGCAAAGGCCCTTCAGTACCTGCTGCCCACCCTTCGCAGCTGCTCATCACAACCCCGCCTCCCTGAAGCCCACATGCCCCGACACTGCCATGGTTCTGTCGCTCTACCGAGCTCTGCTCTGAGTGTTCTGGGGTACCCCCCACTTCCTGCCCCCAACTCCCCAAGGCTCAAGCCCCCTCGGTGCCTCCTTTAGGTTGGGCTTCCCGTGGCTGTTCACGTGTCTCTGGAGCCTTAGAGCCGTAGCGCTCACACCCTTGAAACAAGGTGTGTTCGACCGCTGGACTCCACCTCTTCTGCCCTCCTTGGCCATCTCTGGTCACTCTGCACCCAGCTAGCCTCAGCCAGGGTGTCTAGCATGGGGCGTCCATGTCTCTGTCCCTGCACTCAAGGTGCTAGAGAGCTGGCCACTGCACAAAATGTGTGTTTTTGGAAAGTCACAAGTACAGTTCACTTTAGAAGTCCATTGTACCTATTTCATTTTTAGGTTATTTCTTTCCAGGATGGCGGGGGGGGGGGGGGGACGGAGGCGGAGGGCACACTCCCAGCAGTGCTGGGGTGAGCGTGCAGTGTCAGGGATTAAGCCCAGGGCTCTCACATGCAAAGCGTGCCCTCCAGCCCTCTGAGCCCCCTCCCCAGCCCTAGCTTGTTTATTTCCTATGCTCCATGATCTGAGCTTGCACCCTGGTCCCTTCATCCCATATTCATTTTGCATGTCTGTCCGTCAGGCAGCAGGCTGTGAGCCAGCAAAACTCCTGCCCCAGAGGCACTTAGCCTGTCCTGGTGTGAGCAGTTCATCAGAGGCAGAGGAGTCAGTGCCCTGGAGGAACCTGGGAGAGCAGAGTGAGGGGAGTGGAGACGGAACTGTTTCACCTAGAAGGGCATGAACAATACCCCCGAGGTGGTAGTCGAGCAGAATGGAGCCCTCTGAGTAGTAGCAGGGAGAAGAGTTTCCCAGTGCGGGGCCCCGAGATAGGAAAGCATTTGTGGAGGGAGCCGGGGATGCCAGCAGGCAGACCCAGATCAAGGTGGTGGGGGTGGGCCGCGCCAGCACTGTTGGGTCTCTGGGGTGCCCCCGGGTGCAAGGGAAGTGGCACAGTGTGGCTTCATGGGCACAGAGGCATGGCCCAGGCCAGTTGGGGAGCCGGACAGCCACAGGGCAAGTGTCCACAAGGAGCACGTTGCGGGAAAGTGTGAGCAGCTGCGGGCTGTGGGGCTTGTCTTCAGGACAGGGCTGGGGTGACACCCTGAGAAGGAGACAAGTTTGAGAGTCGCTCCAGGGAGGTCACGCTCTTCGGCCTAGCGCAGTGGGTAGGAGAGATAACAGGCATCATCGTCCTGCCACTGGCAGGGCCTGGCCGACGGAAGCCCGTGTTCTGTTCCCCCAGGTGCCTTTGATCTCTGCCCCGGGAACCCAGCCCTCAGGATAGAGGAGATCTCTCACCTGAAGGAAGGTTGGCACAAAGCATTGTAAATTACCCAGATGAGTTTGTGTCTTCAAATCTGTTCAGCCCCTTTGTGTTGGATGGGGTTTTGTATCGAAACACCAGAAAGTAAGTCGCTCAGAGGCCACGGAATGCTGAACTCTGGTTGCAGAGCTTGTGACCACAGGCCCCCCGTGTGGTCTTCAGAGAAGGCACTTACGATGAGAGGCGGCCTGGTGCAACCCCTGTATGTCTCCTTTCTCCAAGAAAAAAGTTGTTGAGAGGTCCCAGAAGACTTCTCGGGGTTCCTGGGCTCGGGGTGTGTGAAGGCTCCCCTTTACAGAAGCCCATTGTTGCCTGCACTGTGCCAGGCGCTGCTCTGGCCTCTAGAGCTCACGGGCGACAAAGAGACTAGTTCCCTGTTTACAGCCAGATCCGATGGGCAGAGAAGACATGAGGCAGCAGTTTTCAGGGCTCTGTAATTACGGCAGCGCCCTGGTGGGGGGTCTTTCTAACTGGGAATTAGACTCTCAAACCACCCAGAGGCCACTCCAGGGTGCTTATGACTGTACACACAGCAACCAGGGACTGGTCAGCAGCAAGGGGGTTGGATGCATGTTGGGTAAAGGCGCTGGGGGAGAAACCCCAGCCCCACAGGAGGCAACAGCCTTTCCCACAGATGCACACAGCTCCCATCACTGCTCTAAAGAGGCTCAGAATCCTAGCTGACCCAGCCGCTACTTAGAGTTTCTCCCAAGCCAGAAGCAATTTTTCAGTCCAAGGTGGTTTTTACTGTGGCCAGCTTTGCTGACGTTCCACCTTTATCAAGTTCCCTGGAAACAGAAGTAATCTTAAGGTTTGATTTGTCTTTGAAGGTGAAAGAAGGTCTGGGTTTTTTTTTAACCCTCCTTTTTTATGTGTGGGGGTGGGATGGAGGTGGGCTACACCCAGTGGTACTTGGCTATTCCTTGTTATGTGCTCAGGAGTGACCCCTGGCAGTGCTCAGGGGACCAAGTGTGGTGCCAGGGATCCAACCTGGGTTGATTGCATGCAAGGCAAGCACCTAACCTCCTGTGCTCTCTCTCCAGCCTCTGTCTTTCTTCTTGTTGGAGTTTGTCTTTTTTTTAAATTTTATTTTAGTCACTGAAATTATAAAGGTATTCATAATTGGGCTTTGGCATATAATGTTTCAATACTGATTCCTTCACCAGTGTCCACTCCCCTTTCCAGATGCTCCCCCTACCCCTATTTTTTACCTCCCACCGAGCAGTCTACTTCCATGAGAGGCACTTTATACACACATACATACCTTCCCCCTGTGGTTACAGTACTTTGCTGAGAGGGTTTTACACACAAAACTTGACACCTTTCAGCACCACCTCCTCCTCCCCAGTGGACGCTTCCCTCTACCATAAGCGTCGCCTCCTCCCTGTCCAAAAATCTCAGCCCCCTCAAATGTCATGTTCCTCCTGAAGGCCAGTTCTCACGTGCTTTATTTCCGTGGTCTTTGGGTATTCATTATTCCCTCATTATGTTTCTTTGTATCCTGCACATGAGAGAGATCATTCAGTGTCGGTCTCTCTTCCTCTCCCCAATACTCAGCCTGACACTCTCCAGGTCCCTCTCTGAGCAGCAAATTGCATGGCTTCATCTTTTCTTATGGCCACGTAATATCACACTGTGTAGAGGTACCCCAGTTTCTTTATCCAGACATCTATTCTTAGACACTTGGGTTGTTTCCAGATTTTGGCTGTTGTCAATATTGCTACAGGAACATCGGGATGCAAATTCCGCCCCTGTTTTGTTTTGTTTTGTTTTATTTCACAGAGAAGAAACATCGGGCATGGGTAGGCATGCGGACGACTGCAGGCCAGGACTGCAGCTGTGCGTTCGCCCACTGGGCAGTAGGCATTGGGTCAGTTCACCACTCACGTACACCCTCTTCCCTTTGCAGCTCCGTCGTCATGGTGAAGGGCCACCTAGGATGCTGGCTCCTGGTCCTCTTCATGGCCGCCTGGAGTGATGTGGGCCTGTGCAAGAAGCGGCCGAAACCCGGCGGAAACTGGAACACTGGGGGGAGTCGGTACCCGGGCCAGGGCGGTCACGGGGGCAACCGCTACCCACCCCAGGGAGGCGGAGGCTGGGGTCAGCCCCATGGGGGCGGAGGCTGGGGTCAGCCCCATGCCGGTGGAGGCTGGGGTCAGCCCCACGGCGGAGGCTGGGGTCAGCCCCACGGTGGAGGCTGGGGCCAAGGTTCCCACAACCAGTGGAATAAGCCCAGTAAGCCCAAGACCAACATGAAGCACGTGGCCGGGGCGGCGGCGGCTGGGGCGGTCGTGGGGGGCCTGGGTGGCTACATGCTGGGAAGCGCCATGAGCCGGCCCCTCATGCACTTCGGCAACGACTACGAGGACCGGTACTACCGCGAGAACATGTACCGCTACCCCAACCAGGTGTACTACAAGCCGGTCGACCAGTACAGCAACCAGAACAACTTCGTGCACGACTGCGTGAACATGACCGTTAAGCAGCATACGGTCACCACCACCAGCAAGGGCGAGAACTTCACTGAGACCGACGTCAAGATCATGGAGCGCGTGGTGGAGCAGATGTGCATCACCCAGTACCGCGAGGCCGCCCAGGCCTCCTACATGCAGGGGTACAATGCGGCGGCCCTCTTCTCTTCCCCGCCCTTCCTCCTGCTCATCTCCTTCCTCATCTTCCTGATTGTGGGATGAGGATGGCCCTCCTGCCCGCACCGACTTCAGCTTTTCTTCTCGCCAGGTTGGGGAGGGGGGGTCTACCTGCGGCCCTTGTAGTGATGGTGTCTCATTCTTGCTTCTCTCTTTGTCACCCGTAGGCTAATATCCTGGGGCCCCCAGTGGAGACTGGAAAAGGTAGAGTAGACCAGAAGGCCAGTTGTTCAAGCCCGCCATTGGCTCTAGTCATTGTCACACTGCGCCTGACTGGGCTGGGAAGGGTGTCACTGCAAAATCGGTCGACCTAGGTCTAGGCTGATCTATATATACGTATACATAAATATATATATAAAATTTTGTTCTTTGTCTAGTGCAATGGATTGAGGTTTAAACCATTCTCAGAACAGTGGTTGAGTCCCTTTGCCTAAATCTCTCCAGCTCCTTCCCCAGCTAGAGCCTCACACACTTAACCCCCCACCTTAGCAGTCATTCCAGAACCCTTTGGAGACATTTTCTCATGCATTTGAAGAGAAGCGAATGGCGTTTCCCTGTTCAAGCCACAGTTTCCGCCAAAGTTGGAAGGAGGCCACATGATACTCACTCAGAAACTCAGTTTACCTTAGCTTGGTGGCACCAGGCTGTCCTGGGACTACCGGAGAGGGGAGGGGGGGGGGTGTCTGCAGAGAACTGCGGCGGCGTCTTGCAGCTTCTCTGCAGACTTCGCAGCAGCCACTGTATCAAGGGCCATGCGTCCTGCAACCCAGACCTGTGGTCAGAGAATATTTCACAGGGAATAAACATAGCTCTGTATAATCTGGAAGCTTCCGGCAACCTACAACCCCACGTTTGGGAGTAGTGTCTGGAAGGCTAGCTCCTGTTTGGGATCTGTAAAAATCCCTCCATGTGGCATTCCTTTCTGGAGTCCTCTGAGTGATAGAACTTCAAGGAGTAAACATTCAAAAATTAAACCACCAGCTGGATACCAGGAGCAGCTTTCCTGCGTTCATTTTCCTGGAAGCAGGGGCTGTGTGGATGGGGTTCAGGAGAGGCTTAGCTGAGCTTAACTCAGGAGGCAGCAGCTATGGAAACACCATCACCAAAGGAGAATTCTGTCCTAAAGGGAATGATTGATGCACAAAGAAAAGCACGGCTTGCGTTTCTCCATGGACAGTGTCATGATTGGCAAGAGTCAGATTTGAATTTGGGGTCAGGCCTCATCCTTCAGTTCTGTAATCGACCTTGGAATCAACCAATAGAGAGTCCATCTCCTGTCCTCACTCCCCCCCAGAAAAGAGCATAGGTTGGAGATGACCGAAATAGGTTCCATTCTGAGTAAGAAAAGAAATTTCGTTCAGTTAGGCACAGTTATTTTCTGGATCATTCAATAGTGTCACCTAGCAGATACCTATTCCTCTTCTGCAATGTTAATTGGCTTCTACTGTGTGGGTATTCTCTGTAAAATATACATACATGTATATATACGTACATATTTGCCTCTGACAAATTTAGAAGTGTTGGTTCGCGCAGTCAACATCTGACATAGCTGCCGCATTACCTGTTTTTGTAAGGTACTAATATTTAATGGGAGAATTCTGTTCTGTCCTTAGGCTTACAACGTGCACTGAATAATTTTGTATAAGGAGCCAAAGTGGTCTTGGAACTACGCATGTACTTTATATTTTCTATATTTGTAACTTTGCATGTCCTGGTCTCATTGTATACACATTTCTAGATGTTTAATATCTGACTAAAATTAAATAGGCGCTAAGGTGAGCATCTCCTGTGGCATTTACGGTCGTGTTTGCTCCTGTGCGCCTCAAGTCGGCCGACTCATGGGGGAGTCGTTCAGGCAAAGTGGCATGTCCCCTGGTCAGCCGTCTGTGATGGTCCTTGTGTCCTGCATCCACTCCTGGTCCTTCCCTTGGCCCAACAACCATATACCAGCTGCTGCTCTTTGGTAGACCCACTGGTATCTGAGCAAGCCTGGGGGAAGGCCCTGCCTTGCAGAGGAAGATGGGCCTGGCTCTTATTTCCTTGATTCAAATGCAGCCATCTCTCGGGTGCCTGCTCAGCCTCTCGCCCTCCCCAGCAAAGCTGTCAGAGCCATGGGCAGTGCACATAGCTCCTTTTGAACAGAAATTGAACCCACAGGCTGCTTTGATCCATCCCAGCCCTGCAACACTTTCTGCACCTGCTTCCGGCCTTCTTGCCCAGTGTGAGCACCAGCGGCCTGGACTCAGGTTTGCCTGCACAGAGGGTTTTTGTTCTCATTTCATTTGGGGGGCCTCAGCAGGGGATCCTCAGGGATTCCTCCTGACTTGGGAGACCATGTGGTGCTGGGGATGGAGCCTGGACATCCTGTCTGCGGAACCTGTGTTTAGAACCATCTCCCAGGTCCAGTAGAGGTGCTCAGTTCCTGTAACTTGCTAGCAAACTGCACCAGGGGATGGACGACGATTGAAATCACCAAAATCTTTGTCCCTGTCAATACCTTGGTTGATACTGACACCCCGCCATAATCAAAGGATCAACCTATGCTGTAAATGGAAAGAAAAGTTGCTGTGATACTCCATCTTTCACAAAACTTCTGCAAATGACACAGTTAAACGTAAGATTTAGAAAGGAACTTTGGGGCTGGAGTGATAGTACAGTGGCAGGGCACCTTGCATAAGGCCAGCCCAGGTTTGATCTCCACACTGCACAGGGTCCCCTGAACCCACCAGGAGTGATTCCTGAATATAGAGCAAGAAGTAAGCTCTGAGCACCACCTGGTGTGACCAGAAACCAAAATGAAAAAGAAGGAAAAGAAAGGAAAGAGTCTCAGAGTGAATTCTTACCATAAAAATTATCTTTTCTCACCACATTCCCTTTTTGGCCATTTTTTCTAATGGTTTAAAACTAACTACATTATCCACAATCATACTTCCAAAAATAGTTCCCTGGATATCAGAGGTGCTTGGAGAGCCAGCATGAATACTCTGGTCTCAATGTTTTCTTCTTGCTCTGTTATGAGTTACCAATAAAAGCAAATATGTATTCATACATACACTACTTGGGGGGGTCTCCCAGGATACCCTAGGGGTATTCCTAACAATTCTCAGTTAACTGGGAGGCCAGATGGTTGAATTCAGGATGTGGCACTGTTCAGACTCTGGGGTCCTTGACAACACAGGACCGTCTGATAATGGTCAAGGGCCACCAAGGCTAACCAGAGATGCTTGGGGACCTCCACGGTGCACCTGGCAGTGTTCAGGGGGCCGTGCGCTGCCTGGGTTATGGGGTCCCACACATAAAATACTTCCCTCTCAACCCTTATGTCTCCCTGTACCCCACCCACCATGCAGACTCTTTGGGACAAAACAGCCTAAACCTCATTGAGTCTAAGCTCTGGAGAGGATTCTTCCAGAGGCCTGTCAAGGCTCCTTTTGTGGCCCCTCCTTTCCCAGTGACATGCCTCCTGCCTTTGGAGGGAAACTGGGGGATCTGCACTGGCTGGCACCCCTGCAGATGCCTTAATCCCAACCCTAACCAGAGCTTCCTGCAGATTCGGGGTCTGGCCCAGCTGGTGGGCCTGAGTCTGTCCCCTGGGCTCTATCCCCCCTCTCCCAAAGGAGCCCTGAGGCTGACATAGCCTGACCCCCAACAGCCCTGCCTGTGCCCATGCCTGCCCATCTCCAGGGTCCTTCCACTCTCCTGGGTACAGCTGCCCCTCCCCAGAGCCTTCCCCAGAGACAGTGCTTACCCGGAATGCATAGACTTGCAGACCTGCCCACAGACGCAGCGTGAGCACAAGACACACTCAAACTCCAAAAGGATGTTGTCTCAGTTTGCGAACCACTCCCTGAGCGTGCACACACACGCACATGCACACACGCGCACACAAACACAAACATACACAAACACAAGCACACACATGCACAAACACACATACACAAACACCAAGGCCCCTGAGACCCCCACTGGAGGCCTTATCCCACCTGACTTGCCGGCCCCACTCTCTCCCCAAGGTCTAAGTCCAGAGTGCCGGCTTGGCTCCCCCAAAAACTGCATTCCTCCTGGTTGCCCCATGTGCCAGGCGAAGCCACTGGTGTGGTGGTTACATGTGCCAATGAACTGCTTCCAGGAAGACGGGAAAGGCAGGGACAAGTCCAGTCCTGAAAGGCTCAAAGCTCTTGGGTAAATAAGAACCCAGGAGGTTTCCCTGGAACGAAGAGCAAGCTGAGCGCCCGGGGGCAGGAGGCCATGAAACTTCGAGGAGGTGGTTAATGCCACCACAGTGGGGAAAATGGAGCTCAACTGAGACCTGCCCACCTGCCTCACCCCCTCAAGAGATGCTGCTCCATCTGGGGTGGTACCCAGCCTGAGAAATGCACTTCTTCAGCACAGAGGGACCCACGGACCACCGCAGGGTCTTGCCAAAGAGCTTTGAGCTGCTGAGTCTGAGGTGGGCTTAGAGCTTTCCACCCTTGTGCCAGGTCCCAGAGTTGTGTCCCAGCTGGTGGAGCACCACACACAGGGGCGCGAGGGCCTCAAGGCCCAGACCTTCTCTCCTGAGGCTGGTCCAAGAGCATGCAGCATGGAGAAGGCGAGCTGCCCTCTGTCTCTCTTCACCTCTGAGTTCTGATGGTATTTGTGGGGGACCCCTCCAGCCTGGCCCAGGCAGCGGAACCAAACTGAACAGGCAGCCTCAGGCCGGCTTGGGGCTGACCTCAGAGCCCAGCACTGACTGTGGCTGCTCCTAGTAATGCCCTCAGAGCCCTCTGAAGGGATCTTAGGGCCCCTGACAGCATCTTTAGCCCTGCCCCCGCTATCCTTAAACCTTCAATAACCTGGCTGTAGGCAGTGCCCTGCATTTGTAGGAGGTGAGAAAAGAGTGACCTCTATTCTCCAAGATGAAGTGACCCTATTCCCCAAATGCCCAGGAGAGGGGTACAGACTTATTTGCTGTCTCGACTGAGAATTAGAAATCAGTCCCCAAACAAGTCAACAGCAGCCCTGCCAGACCTGAAGCGAGCACCTCCCCCACTCCATGAGGCTTTGCTGCTTCCTATGAAACAGTTTCTGGGTCCAGCCTGTTCTGATGCTCAGACAGGGCAAGAGTCAGACCACTGAGCCCCACTGAGGTCTGTGCAACCCGCCACCACTCTGTCACCTCTGGCTTACCCCCATGGCCCTGAGACTCAGGCACTGAGGCCTGACCTTCACTGTGTGCTACAGAGTCACCTCTAACCCCCCACTCAGAGCCTCTCTCCTCCTCTTCCTCGACCACTTTCCCAGATGAGGATGTGGGCGCTCTCTGCCACATGCCTCTCACCATCCCAGCCAACTTCTCAGACCTCAGGCTTCTATTCTTCCTGACCCTCCACCTCAATGGCCCATACCCCTGCTCCACACCCAATGTCTGACAGGCAGTCAATGGGTGGGCTTTGTGGGGAAGGGGTCCAAAGCAAGACATCCTAGAGACATGGGCCCGGGTGTCTGCATCCATGAGCATGAAGCCCCCCAGGAGCTGAGGGGAGCAGTGGGGGGAGGGGAGGGGGAAGACGAGGCAGGCAGGGGCCAGAGACATCTTCCTCCCAGGCCTGCAGAGACCAGAGACAGCTCTGGCGGCAGCTGCCAGGAGAAGGGACAGGCTTGGCAGTGGAGTGGTGGTTTATCTGCCAGTGTCCCCGAGTCCTGGAGGTGTTTCTGAGTTTTCAGGCAAGCCTGGGCTGCTCTGTGGGGGCTGTGTCAGCGGTTTGGGGTGCCTTCAGGTGAGTAGCCAGTTGGCTTTCACGCCACTGCCTTCAGCCAAGACTCCACCAGGGCAGCGTCTTCTTCCCGGGTCCCACGTGCAGCTTTAAGCAGGCTGGGGGATGGGGTGGAGGGGAGAGGGACAACAGGAAGGCATTTGCCTTGCACACAGCCCGCCAGCTTCAATCCCAGACATCTGCTGTCCCCTGAATATCATCTGGAGTGATCCTAGAGCTCAGAGTCAGGAGTATGCCCTGAGCAACATCGGATAAGGTCTAAAACACCCCCGAATACTAAATAAATAAACACATTGAGGCCTCCAAATTCCTTTTCAATAAGATTCTCAAAGGTGATTGGTACCACAGAAATTTCTTATCATGTGTTCAAATTTGTAGAATCCTCCTATGAAATGATAGCAGGTTTTTTTTGTTTGTTTGTTTGTATTTTGCTTCTACCAAAAACAGCATTAGCAGTCCTAAGATTCTCGAACCGCTGGTGGCTCATCAATGCGATTTAAAATTTGCAGAGAATCAAAATCACATTCCTTCCTTCCTCCCTTTCTCTGCCCTCCCATCCTTCCTTTATTCCTCCTTCCTTCTGATCTTTTCTTTCTGTCTTCCTTTCTTTTATTTTTTTTCTTCCTGTCTTTCTTTTTTTCCTTTTTGGGTCACACCCAGCAATGCTCAGGGGTTACCCCTGATTCTGCACTCAGAAATTACTCCTGAGGGGTACTATATGGGATGTCAGAGATTGTACCCAGATCAATCGCATGCAAAGCAAATGCCCTACCCACTGTACTATAGCTCCAGCCCCTCCTGTGTTTCTTTCTTTCTTTCTTTCTTTCTTTCTTTCTTTCTTTCTTTCCTTCTTTCTTTTTTGCTTTTGACCTCACCTTCCAGTCCTCAATGACAAGGCCTAACTTGGTGCTTGGGAACAATGTGATGCCAAACTCAGGCTTCCCACATGCCAAGTGTGCATGAACTCTCTCCCTATTCCTAACCATCATTTTTTAAAATTACAGTATTTAGTGCATAGAAGCAC